TGTCTTCTTAATGACTTTTTGCTCTCTTCATGTATGATGTTCTTGATGTCATCCCACAACTCTTCTGGTCTTCGGTCTTTAGTGTTTAATGCATCAAATCTGTTCTTCAGATGGCTATGGTAAATGGTATTTCTTTCCTTATGTACTTTTCAATGCTGTCATTTTTGGAATAGAGGAATCCCACTGATTTTTGTATGTTATGTTGAATTGTACACTTTTAAAGAATAACTTTTATGTCAGATGAATTATATTTTAAAAACTGCTATAAAAATGAATGAATTACAGATACATTCATCAAAATGGACAAATGTCAAATATAACATTGGGGAACAAAGTGTGTTACAGAAAAATACTTGTAATATAATTATATTTATATAAAGTAAAGACTTATGAAAAATGAAATTTTAGATATTGTTTACATCCAAAGGTAATGGGAGAAGATTCAATCAGGGAGACACAGGGCTTCACATGGATTGGTAATATTTCATTTTAGGTATGGGTGCTAAATAAATGGATGTTCATTTTATTATTCTTTAAACATACCTGCCTCTGTATTTTAGACGACCTGGTGGCACAACAGTTAAGTGCTTGCTTGCCAACCAAACGGTCAGCAGTTCACAACTACCCAGCCACTCTGTGGGAGAAAAGAGCAGGCAATCTGCTTACATAAAGATTACAGCCTAGGAAAGTCAATGAGGGAAATTCTCCTCTGTCAATAGGGTCACTATCAGTCACAATTGACTTGATGGAACACAGCATCTATACTTACTTTTGCATGTATGTGGGGCCTTCAGAAAGTTCATGGACAAATGCAAGTGAAAGATACTGAAAGTTTTCCATGAATTTTTTGAAGCCCTGTGTATGAAATATTTCTTTCAAAGAAAAGACTTAAAAACAGGGACTCAAACAGATATATGTATACCAATGTTCACAGCAGCAATATTCATAATAGACAAAAGGTAGAAAAAGCCAAGTATCCATCAACAGACAAATGTATACACACAATGTGTTCAATCATAAAAGGGAATGAAGTTTTGGCATAGTGGTTACGTATTGGGTTGTTAACCTCAGGTCAGCAGTTTGAAACTATTAGCTGTTCCATGGGAGAAAGATGAGGCTTTCTGCTACCCTAAAAATTTATAGCCTCGGGAACCCTATACAGGGACACTATGAGTCGGAACCTACTCCATGGTACACCAACCACCACCACAATATAGAGAAACCTTGAATGCAATATATTAAGTGAAATAAGTTAAACACAAAAGGTCAAATATTGTATGATTTCCCTTACATGAGTGGAGTCCCGGTGGCACAAAGATTACGTGTTTGGCTGCTAACTGATCGGCAGTTTGAATCCAATAAGCAGCTCTGTGGAATAAAGAGCTGTTGATTTTCTACCATAAAGAAGAGAGCTCAGAAAAGTCTCTCAGGTCATGCTACTTGTCACATGGTATATTGATAAATCAGAATCAACTTGAAAGCTAGGGGCCTGGAGGAAAACCAGGAGATAATGATTGAAAGGAACAGAGTTTGTTTGGGTGATAAAAAATTTTGGCAGTAGATGGCGGTGATGCTTGTACAACACTAAATGTAATTAATGCCACTGAATTATATACTGAAAAATGGTTATAATGTTAAAGTTATATGTATTTTGCCACAAAAAACCCACAAACTATCATCAGCAAAAAGGGGGCTCAGAGATCTAATCAGTAAATAGATTGTCAATGGCTCATAAAAATTTTTTTTTCTCTTTTAATAAAAAAATCTGTGATGACAGAATGCAAAATGGTACAGAGGTCACTGTGGAAAACAGTTTGGCAGTTGCTCAAAAAGTTAAACACAGAGCTACCATGTGATCCAGCAATCCACGTCTAGGCATATATACCCACGAGACTTGAAAGCAGTTATATTAATAGACACACACACATCAAAGATCACTGTAGCACTATTCAAAACAGCCAACAGGGGAAACAACCTAGGTATCCATCAACTGTTGAATAGATATATAAATGTTGTACATACAAAGGACTACTACTCATTCATCAAGAGAAATGAAGTCCTGATGCATGCTAACACATGGATGAACTGGAAAAGGCATAAATACTGCTATGACCTCACTTACGTGAAATAACAAGAACAGACAAATGTACAGAGAACAAAGTTCATTAGTGGTTTCCAGTGGTGGAAAGAGGAGGGAAATGGGGAGTTTTTGTCAATAAATGTTTGCTTGTGGTGATGAGAAATCTGGCAATAATTATAGGTGGTGTTGCACATGATTCATGTAATTGATATCACTAAACTGTCCACCTGACAATGTTGAATTGGCAAATGTTGGCCGATAAACATTTCTACAACAAAAAAACCTCTGCAATGAGCAAACATTAGCAATAACTTTAGTTCTACTAATATTTGGAAGATTATAATTTAAATATATCAATAGTATACCAGAGTCCTAAGGAGCTCTGGTAGCGTAGTGGTTACGAATCGGGCTGCGAGCCTTAAGGTCAGCGGTTCGAAACTACCAGCCGCTCCGCGGGAGAAAGATGAGGCTTTCTACTCCCGTAAAGATTTACACCCTCGGAAACCCTGTACAGGGTCGCTATGGGTCGGAACCGACTCGATGGCACTTAACAACAACAACAACATCAGTAGCATAAGACTAATTTTAAATTAGCAGACTATGAAGTACTAAAGGTGTCTTTCTCCTCAAGAATTCGCAGGATGGCTTTAGTAAATTGATGAGGGGGTATAGTGGTGGTAGAGGTACTGGTGGGAAAGTATGTGACTAAATAAGGATCCAAGTAAGGATTTAAGAATTTCCTCCCTTTCCTTTCTACTCTAACACATAGAGGAAAGTGAATTTGAAACATATGGACCAAAACATAATTTTATGAATTAGAAATTTAAAACATTAGGGATAAAAGCAACATTATCATGAACTCAATCATACCCCCAAAAAACTGAAAGGCTCTCCCCAAGCTTCGCCTTTTGGAATGCTGCTTTGTCAGGGACAGGGATATGACATGTGTAATTATGTATATTCTGCTCTGCATCTGACAAGGTATAGGACAAACAAGTCAGGAAGTCCCAAGTCCAGACGCAATTGCATTGAATGGAAATGGAGTAAGAATTATCCTTACCCATCACTCTCCAGTCTAGTCACCCCCAATTCTAAGCAAAATCCTTTCTAACATCCTTTCTCAATCTCTCATCCTAATAATACCCCTCAGCCATGGCAACATGATTTTCCTGATAAATTTATATAAAGAAATACCTTTGTGACATTTACTATGTAAACAAGTACTTGCAGAGGTGTACAAAAAGATGAGTGCTTTTAAATATTTTGCCCTCTTTTGTTGTTAAGTGCCATCGAGTCAGTTCCGACCATAGCGACCCTATAGGGTTTCCAAGGAGCAACTGGTGAGCTTGAGCCACTGACATTGCGGTTCAAACCGACTTTACAGTCTAGCACATTAACCCATAGTGCAACACCAGGACTCCTAACTGGTTGTTTATTTACCACCTTTTATCTTAGAATTCACCACCAAAAAATGCTAAATAAGCCACTTATGCTAAAAGTATTCTGAAACTCTTTGGACTTTGTAGTTAAAAGATCTGTCATAATATATTGATTGTAATTTATAAACTACACAGGTTCTCTCCATACACACACACACACACAAACACACACACGCTTGTTGAATTGTATCCAATGTCTGGGAGTGATAGAAACATTTGTACAAGTAAATATATGACATAAAATAAAGTGGAATACATTTAATTCAAAATAAAAACATAAATATTCAAAGTATACACTTTACTTACCTTAGTGGTCCACAAAGAGTAAGGCCAAAAAACCACAAAAGTGAAATAATACACCCAGCAATGGCATGTTTAAATATTTTGATCCACTATAAATAGAAAATAAAAAAAACTTAGTTATGTTGTTATATTTTGAAATAGCTCAAAATCTTAAATGAAACATAGAAGGAAAGATAAAAATGGTAATTATTTTAATATATGATTACATATATTGCATTTAAACAGAAACTATGACGGACAATCCGAATTGAGTAATTCTGGATTTACAAGGCAGTATTGTATTTTCAATTATCTATATTCTTACCTATTAAATTCTGAAATCATTTTCTACAGAATATACTTCTGTATTCTCATTTGTTTCTCATCAATTTGGTAGGAATACAATATTTTAGTTTTTAAATTCTTTTCCATTAGGAATTTTCAGTGCTTGAGTTATTTGAAAAGGGAGACACAATGTTTTGATGGGGTTTAATTGATTAATCTAATTTAAAAAAATGATGATGTGGACAGATGGAACAGCTGGGGACTTTAGAACCAGAGAGGGAGAGAGGCTGTGTGCTGATGACCGGGTAGGATGGGGGTTAGCGTTTGTAGGATATACCCTTTGGTTGGTTGATGATGCATGGAAGAGACTGTAACCATGGCAATGAAACGATATACAATAGGATAAATGTAAAACTAATGTTCTCCCATGTCAACTATCACATAATTTACAATAAAACATTTTAAAAAATTGCTCTTAATCTTTAAAACAGAGGTAACTTAAATTTGTCATATTAAACTAAAAAATCATGGAACACATAACTAAGCTGTAATATAAAGCAGACATGTAATGAGGTATATAGCTTTCCAAAGAAGTGATAATGTAAGACTATTATGCAGAATGCAGGACATTTCTGGCATAAATCTTGAATAATGATGATAATAAGGGTGACAGCTAGTATATACTGCACATTCACCATGTGTCAAGCACTACTCTAAAAACTTTTCATATGTCAATTCATTTATTCCTCATAGCTCCATTGCAAAGCAAAAATCCCCATTGCCATCAACTCACAATGACTCTACAGGACAGAGTAAATCTAACCCGTCGGGTTTTCAAGGCTGTAATCTTTATGGGGACTCCTGGTGTAACACTGTAGGATCAATACTGGACTTCGAACCACAAAACTAGCAGTTCAAACTTACCAGCTGCTCCTCGGAAATCATGTATAGGCTCTCTATGAGTTGGAACTGACTCAATGTCACTGAACAACAACAATCTGTGGAATCTGCAGAACAGCTGGTGGGTTCAATCCACTGACTTTTTGGTTGGCAACTGAGTGTTAGCACCAGGGCAACTTCCATAAGAAGGTATTATTACCTCCATTTTACAGATGAGAAAATTAAGGCAAAGAAAAATGACGTAACATGCTCAAAATAAGAGTTAGTTAAGTAAGACATATTCTAGAGGCCATACCTACTGCCTACTAGGCTCCTGGGTGTATCTCCAGATCTGATTTGTACATCTTTCAGATTAAGAAGAAAATAATTACACATATCCTTTAAAAATAGTCTTCCCTCTTCTGCACTTTTAAATATTCTAGTATCCTAACACTACTTTTGAAACCTCAATTTTCAAAAGACGATATTCAAGTCAAGAGCAAGCTGATGCTGTAAATGTTTGGCTGTGCATTTAAATCATTAAGTTCCCCTGATCAAGGAACGAGTATTACATTCTGACCTGTTGACTGAGAAGTGGCTAGCAATAAAGGATTCTGCAAAAAGAATTTACCTGGTGTTTGGTAATAGTTTTCCCAGAAGAAAATGGCTTTTGAAACAAAACCATAGAAAATGCAGCCCTGTTAATGTAAATATTGAAACATTAATATACTGATATCAATATTAGATATAATGTATGGTTTTAAATAAATAAAGACATGTATTTAAACAAACATACTAGAATTAGAACCAGAAAAGTATGTTAGCGTCTAGGGAAATCATACTAAAGGGACTACACTTATTCTAATAATGCTCCCATCAAAACATCTTGGAAATTCTTCCTTCAGTAATGGCTTCAGAAAGAGTTCACAAGTCACAAAAAGAGTTTCAATGTTTTTTCATACCCTGTAATTCCTAAGAAAATAACTCACTTCTCCAAAATTCAGTAATACCAAATTTTGAAATAAAAGAAATGAAGTACTAATTATATGTCCCCATCTTTCAAATTTTTCAGTTATACAAAAATATCCTAGTCAATAATCCCCTTCCATAATTATCAACATTTTAAGCCAAAGGGTCTGACAGATTTTTATTTATATAGAGGTGTTAACTGTTAATTATCTCAGGTCCTGAGTCTTAATTTAGAAATTTTTTTTTTTTTTTTTACCACATTCAGAATGTAGACTTCAAACTATAAGAAGACCATATACCATAAAGAAAACACACCATAAGCCTAGCCAGTTTGCTTTAGCTTAAAAAATAAAGATTATTTGTGCCCATTATTTGTGTCAGATAAGATTCTGTGCCTAATGGAGGATTGGGCTATAGTCGTACTATGACCTGGGAATCCCTGAGACCCCTTCATGGAGTCTACAAGGGAAAAAAAAAAATTTTTAGAAGAATACACAGACTTTACTTTTATTTGTTAAAAGCAAAACCAAAAAGCCCAAACCCAAAGATGTTATTTATCATTTTTATTCTCTCATGAGTGTACCAAAGACTTTTCCTACATGCTAGATAACATAAGATACTACACAGAATGAATGCTGAAGCAGATATGAGAAACTAGCTGTCTTCTATTGCCAGACTTGAAAAGAAATGTGCAAAAATCTCATCACAAGCTACAGTAAAAGTTTATGTTTTGGCATGCTACTAAATACAATAACCCCTTTTCTATAACCCCTTTTCTGACATCTTTGTACCCTAATCTTAGGTATTCTATAATTAAAAAAAAAATAACATGCTTGTCAGAGGAATCAATTGCACAAAAGTCTATGTAAATTTTCTTGAAAGATACTTAGTTAATGAAATTTTATATTTAACACAAGATTTTCAAGGAAATAAAAAAAAAATTTCAGAAAAAACTAAATACACACATACATACACACATATACACATACTTACCCAAGTTTTAATATAAAAATGAACTGAACAATGTGAACTGCTTTTAGGAGATCATAGGATTCAAAAAGTCCCACAGCCTTAAAAAATTTGGTGAAACACAGCAACACAATAAATTTCGTTAATCTGAAAAGTAAAAGCAGAAACAAGTTTTAGTATCATTGAAATCCTAAAGAACTCTGTAGCTGTTGTTTTTCTCTTACATATGTAATAGAGGTCACTACAGAAATCACAGAAATCCACTAAAATACAAAAAATGCCGAAACTCCCCATCATTCCACAGGAAACTACAGTTAATCTTTTGATTAGCAAAATATATTCAATGTATATGAATATATATATATATATATATATATGAAGTCTACTTAAAGAAAAAGCCAAACTAAAACTAAAAATAAATGTTTTGGTTAATGAAGTAGCCTGGAATATTACATAACCTGTTTTTTAAACTTAATAATTACTCCAAACAAATGAGAACAAACAAACAAAAAAAACTCTATCTGCGATGAAACTTTGTTTTTGTTAAGTGCCATTGATTTGGTTCTGACTCATAGTGCCCCTATATAGAGTTTCTCAGGAGTGACTGGTGGATTTGAACTTCCGACCTAGTGGTTAGCAGTCTGGTGCTTATCCTATAGCACCACATCACTAGAAGAACATAATGTAGACAAAAAGAAATTGAAGGATGATAAATGATTTAGGTTTGCCCTTCTCTGCTTTACTTCTCCAAGTGACTTTTGTGATGCTTGCAAATGAAAAATAAAGTGACAATATATGCTCAGGAATTGGAGTTGCCAGAAACTTTAGAAGGGAAGTGGGAAGCTGAAAAGAGTGGGGTCATAATCAAAATGAGAGGTAAGGAAAAACAAAGACGAGGAAAAATATAGATACACTGAAGTCAGCAGTCTAGGAATTCTTGGCATCAGCAGAAACTTGTACATCCCTACAGGGCTATTTACTTAGCTATTCTTTTTGCTTACTACATAACAGAACCTGCTGGGATGGCTGCAGGTACAGCGTTCACTTTACCTGACCCAAGGGCCACACACATTTGACACTACTGCATTCCGCCTTAAAGAGAGAAATTTTATCTACTGTTGCTAAATCCATCTTACAGTTAGCCTGGCTATGAAAGCCAACCCACTAAGAATGGTGCTGGTGGTGGACATAAAGAACCTGAATCCCAGAGGAATCACTGGGTTTAACAAATAACATTGACCTCTGGTTCTTTTTTTTTTTTTTTTTAAGTTTTTATTGTGAGGTTTACATGGGAGAACATCAGTTCCACATTCATCCCATCGCACTTCGTTTCACTGCAGTGATTACAATCCCCTCCATGCATCATCAAATAACCAAAGGGTACAGCCCACTGGCCCGCCCCCTAGCCATCAGCACACAGCCCCTCTCCCTCCCTGATTTCAATGTCCCCAGCCTCTCAATCTGTCCACATCTGTCTCCATCCCTGGTGTCAGTCACTGCCTCTGTGGGTAGGGTTCTGTTCTCCGCTCCTCTCACTTGATGGTCCCAAGGACCTCCGCTCTTGGGCTGCAAAATCAATCACTCCCCTCCTTTTGTCAAAAAACATCTACCTGTATATTTGTTACCCTCACAGTCAGTCCTGATGGCAGTTATTCACTATTGTACCACAAGATCTTATCCCCATTTCCTTTCGCCAGCCCGGTCCCAACAGATTGGAAATCAATCAGTGGAGATTCTACCTTCCCCCGCCCTGTCTGGATCTAGGCTCCCTCTTGAAAGCCTGTAAGCCAGTCACTTCTTGCCTTTATAGGCCTCCCCATCTTGGGTAGCCAATGTCTAAGTTGCCCATTCTTATCAATCCTGTGTACTGAGGGGGTGGGAGTGATCCTCGCTGTAAAGATTTGTTCCCTTTTTTGAGCTACTACATCCATAAGTATAGGTAAAGTTCATCAAATTGTAGCAGGTTACTTTTTATTGCTTTTCCTCTGGTTCTTTTTATATAAGAAGAATAAATACTATTTGTTTAAACTTCTGTTAGCTTCGTTACTTAAAACTAAACACATTCCTACCTAGGCACCCATTGAATAATAAACACTCTGCTCTCAAGGAGCTCAGGGTCTAATAGGAAAGAAATAAACAAGTATTTATGTGATCCAACAGTGAGTTCTTAATCTGAAGCAACTACCTTTACCTAGGGAAGTGAAGAACATCTGCATAGAATTTGAGATGTGTTCAGGGGCTTCAAAAAGTCCATGAAAAATTCCCACTATTCTTTAATTTCATTTTCCCATGATCTTTTGAAGCCCCCTTGTATAAGGTGTATACTGAAGACTGTACAAGTTCATTAAGCAAGGAAAGACAAGATGGTATTTCCAGTACAGAGAGCAGCAAATGCAGAACATGAGTACATGCAAAAGTTAGAACCTGTGTAGGATGGAAATTTGTTAAAGAAGGAAAACATATATATTTTCCTCTAATAGACTAGGACAGAAAAGTGCAAAGATTGTACCTAGTCAAAAGTGGAAAACCTGTGAAATTTGGAAAAACAAGGTAATTCTGTTGAGTTCTGGCTCCCATAGGTTTCCCTGTACCTTCAAAGGAACCTTTGAAGGCAATATTGTCTTTAAGTTCAGTTTCTAGTACTCCTGATGAGTAAACAACAGAGGAAGCTTATGACCAGGTATAGTGAGCTTTCTGCTCCTGTAAAGATTTACAGCCTCGGAAACCCTGTACAGGGTCGCTATGAGTCGGAACCAACTCCA